TAATATATTAAGAAATTTGGCGTAAACGGTCCTAAGTTTTACTTTGTTACAATATAGTGCATAGTTTAATTCTGTAATTTCATTCTTTATTCTTTGTGATCCCTTCTTTATGTTAGCTGGCGTGTAGCGATGTCCATAGTTTGTTAGGGGTACTCTTTTATCACTTAGAGATGTGCCATGAGGGTTATAAATATATACATATACCTAGTGGTAAAAGAGGAATGTGGAAAAACTCTAACTTTACTTGAAACTGTTACGTCAAATGTTCGAATCTTGAAATATAGATTTGGCTCTTGGGTAAGTGCAAGTGTACAAACAACCTTCTACCCTATACCATTGGAGGCATAACCTTCTATTTACCTCTTTCACCAAAACCCAAGGTAGGGCAGGTGGGAGCCGTCAGGATGCGGCTCATCCTTTATATGTATATATTTATAGATAGGATAATGGGATAATTAGGCCCAATACCCTAAAAAAGTAACTAATTAGAATAATACCCCTATAACTAATTAAAACTTTCACCTCCGTAAGTAATACGTTCAAAACCTACCCAACCCTGAAAGCCTTACAAAGCCCCAAATTAGAACCCAGAAGTCCGGCAAAAACTTCCTACCACCAGAAATTTTAATCTTGGTTCACAACCATCTTTGTTGCTTGATCTGGAAGGTAGAGTGCTCGTCGCTCGATGAGCTTGATTGTACCTGAAAAATCTTTTCCAAGATTTGTATATATGCATTTTCTGTACAGAACTCTTGTGGGTTTTGTTTATTCTGTTTACAATTTCAATGTCACCCATTCAATTTTAGAATTGAATACTTCAATTTTCCTTCTTTTTGTTTTTTTTAGGTGCATTTGATAATAGAGATGCATATGTACACACGTATAGAAAGAGAATGATAATTGGTGTTTGGAATGGAATTTTCTAGAATTAATTGATTGGATGCTGTTCTATTATGCAAACAGCAGAAAAGTGCATTTTCTTCACATGTATATTTGACCATTTTAGTATTTATAATTTAGTGAAATTTGTTTTTGGAACTTTTACATGAACAATTGATACAAAAGTTTATTTATCGACACTTACAAGTGAAGTTTGTTGCGTAGCAAAAGTGGCTGTAAAAATAACAATTTGATTATTTGTAAGGTTGCTTGAATTCGAAGCCGAAGAAAGGGATTGATGCAGAATAGTAACTTATGGTTGCCTGTGAAACCACTTCTGCAGAGTTCTAGTGGTGTTTTGGCTGATCAGATGGAAACAACATATTGGTAGGAATTACTTGAAATTTACTCCGGGTTGTTACAATTTGAATATTTGTAAGGTTGCTTCAGTTGTGATGCTACATCTACTGGGAAGCGTCTACCTGTAGGCTTTTATGTCACTTTTTTTAAATTGGCATGAGAGGGTTTTAAATGAAAGAGGTCTTTAAATAAGTATCTTACTGAAAAAAATTCAAAAATCTTTTGTTTCTCACACAAATGAGTATATTGATGAAGAAGGGGAGGATATTGAGTGCCAGTCTAATGTTCTTGCAAGGAGAAATTCGACTCTCATTGTTACAGAAGGAGGAAGCCCGTGAATTTCGTCAAAAGATTGTCACTTTTTTATTAAAAAAAATTTCATCACTTCTTTGAGTTTGTCATTTTCTAAGTGTGTCATTTTTTTAATTGTCTGTCACTTTTTTAATTTGTATAACTTCTTTTAATTTGTGTCACTTTTTTGAATTCGTCACTTTTTTAAAATTTATCACTTTTTTAAAATTTTGTCACTTTTTTAATTTGTTGTCATCTTTTAAGTTTTTGTCACTTTTTAAGCAGATAAAAAAATGAAATAATATGTTATATTTTCCTAACATATTTAGCATGTGGATTTGCGTGAACGTGGTGATTATTTTAAGAACATAATTACTAGTGCTGTCCAAATGAATGGTGTTATTTTGGTATTTGTCACTTTTTTTAGTTTTGTCACTTTTTTTAGTTTGTGGCACTTTTTTTTAAAAAATACTTTTTCATTTTACACAGTATTTTTTACTTCCTAAAAACTTTTCATATGATTTTTCAAAACATCCCTAACTTTAAGGGTATTTTTGTAAGTACCCCTAGGATAATTGGTGCAAAACCCAAAACTCTCTACGTATTGGAATTAGTATAAAAGGTTCTTATTTGAAATTATTAGTACGGAATATAACGTGCCTTCATGTTTCGTTAGTTCTGTCGTTAAGTCACAAAGTGTGATTTATTTAATATTTCTATGTAGGGTTTAAATGCCCGAAAAGCGTAATTTCTTCAATACCTTACAAGACGATCTTGTCCTTTCTATTTTGTGCAAACTCAATTCCACCATTGGATGCCTCGCATATTTTACCCACATTTTGATAACATGTCAAATTTTCAATTTTAAATGAAAAAATGGATTTTTATAATTTGGTTTCTGGGCATTTATTTCTATAAACATTTTCATAGCATTTGAATCTAAAGGGTTGATTTTTTATTGAACTGACGCAAAGGCTAAATGGGTTATGTTGACACCTAAAAATGAGCCAACAGATGCCGAGATCACTCACGTCGAGTTA